GCTAAAATCCGGGTTACGATCCCCGTGGTAGGAAGAGCAAAGATAGCCCTTGTGTAGCTTTGTGCATAATTAAAAGCAAAGTAAAAGCAAGTTTAAAAGTAATCATTAAGCAAACGTTTCTTGCTCCAATTACCAAACTTTATATAGAGTGTTTAAATTCGCTAAAAAATCACTCTACAGTAGGTCAGCCGTCAATTTACGGACTTACAACGCTAAAATTCATGGTTTAAGTCCACGCGGTGAGCAATCGCATAAAGCCTATGCTATAGCTCTGCGCCAAAATAACAACACTACAATGGAATATGTTTAAATACCCGATATCAGTTTATAGAAATAGTTTTTTTCAAGTTGTTTGTAAATAAGCACAAAGCTACACAATGGGCTATTTGTGCTCTGCCCACCACGGATATCGTCGAAACCCGGTTTCTAACGTTGTAAGTCCGCAGATATTCCACTGCGCCACTAGGGAGGGGGAGAGGGTTCAAGATGGTATAATATCACAGCATAGTTGCGTACAAACTTCACAAACTTATATATCACAACAATAAGATAACAACTGGAATAAAATATCAAATAGTATTTTTGTTTATGCATTACGCAAAATATGATTATATTTCAACGAAGCTCTTATTTTCTATGTTACTTTTGATTTTAACAGAACCTCTTTGAAAACAACAAACTTGAACATATTTGTGAGTACGATGAACTGGTAATAGCAATCCGTAACCTTATTTAGCTTCCGAAGAAAAAGCTACGAAAATCTGTTTTGGAAAGTGTTAAGCCATTGTAGAGGTCACGTCCTTGCTACCATGATATTCACTGCGTACACCAATGTACCTACACTCGTCTTGTAGAATTTTAGTAGAAATTTTGTCTTTGGAGTAAATAATTTTGTCAACGCAATTTCCGTACACCCTGTAGAACGAACAGGTGTATTCATGACAATAAAGCTGCCTTTTTCAAACATTAGCACTCGGCTTTTTTGCAAATGGAAGTTCTTTAAAATGTATACTGGTTTAGCATCACTATTAGAGATGGTATATTATGGATTATATATTTAACAATACATTAATTAAAGTACCTATAGTGCCAAGTTTTTAATCTTTGGAGCTCTTGTTTTGCAAAAAAAAAAAGAAAAAGAAATAAACAATGCTAAATTATAATTTTTGATGACGATCATATTACTTTACCGACCCCAAATGTTTAATTGTACTTACATTTGGAGTATAAAAGCGAATACTTATATTCATAAAACATAATTATCTTTATAAATAATAAAAAAAACAATACTGTAAGTGAGGGAACACCTGTATATCATACCCCCTCATTTCGTGCTAAATATATGAAATCAAACATATACATTTTTACCTAGAAACACTATACATGATCAAAGTATTTAAAAACAAAACACCTACACAGACTTAAAACACACACACACTCAAAATATATTTTTAAACGTAGATCTTACCAACGACCTGTAACTTGATAACAGTGTTGATGCTACGGCCTCGACGGTAGTCGACTCTACACCTATAAGTTCCTGCGTCACCTTTCCGTACAGGATCGATTTGAAGAAAAGCCGGCCTGTTGATCATATGAAAATGGGCCCGGAATTGCAACTGTGGGCTTGACCACTGGTGAGCTTCTTTGAGGACTCCCCTGCGGGCATCGAGCATGTAGACAGGTTGAGTCGATTCATTCTTGTACCATAAAACCAGGGCTGCTGAGTCGTTCACAGCGGGCGGAGAAATATCGCAAGGTAGAGCCACCCTCCCCTGCTCAACAGCCGTGTAAACAATAGAGGCTACAGGTAATCAAAGAAAGTGAACATAAATTTCATCAAAATGAAACCTTTTTATGACTGAATCTAGAAGTAACGTTAATTTTTAGTATTCAGGTAAAAGAAAACAACAACAATATAAAAAAAAAACAACTGCAGAAATACGTACATCCCACATCCAGACAACTGAGAAGCTACAATAACCTACATTTCTGATTTAATTACGCCTGAAAATTGTGACGAAAAGAAACCGCCAAATTCTAAAGTTGTTTGTGTTGTTTAATTGGCTTTCAATGGCGCTGTGCTCTTTATGCACAATGCGCATGTGCTTAGGTTTCTACTCCAGAAACAAATTTAAAGCCAAATTGAGCCGACTCAAAGTTAAAAGGATAACAAGTTTCGAGATAATAATATTTATAAATTAGAAAATAAATATAGTTTTTTATATAATCATGGAGAGTTCGGGAACCTAGCCCCACGGTCCCTCCGTTTTAAATGATATAATTCCCCAGACTACTCGTAGGTACGGTAATTTATTTTCTACTGGCACCCCCCGGGTTCAGATCAGCGATTATCAGATACTTTGGAATTCTACTTAACCTCAGCTCCACCAATAATAATAAAAAATTGCTATTTCTGATGGGGACATTGCACTTTGTCAAAACTTGATAATTAGCATATAAGGATAAGCAGTTCCTTATCAAATTGATTAGTCTGTTTCCATTTGTTGAATGACGTGCATTTATAGAGTTCCACTGGCAGAAAGCAAAAATAATCTGTTCTTCTAATATTTACGGTACACATCTTTGGAGTTTTTAACATAATACTCATGGTACTAGTATTCTCGAAAACATTATATCATTATGATTACGATTTGGAGAATGCTGTGCCAGAAAAATGTAATACTAATAACTGTAGGGTCGTTTCTAAACAGAAATGTTTCTTTGTCCATAATTTCATGTTACATACTGTTTCCCCCCTTGGCTTAGTAGTAAACCTGATGGCTTATAACACTAAAAATCGTGTTTCAATCAATACCAGCAATGAGCAGATCACAATTGGTCTTTGTGCTTAACACCTAAAACTAACAAACGCATATTGTTGACGAATAAAAGGGGTTTGAAATGAGAAATATATACATTTGATTGAGGTTTCAATATCAAACTACAAAAGAGTTTTAAATTTCAGATGTTGAGGAAGTAAAGAAGTTAAGAAAGAGAAAAATCATATTATAGAAGTGTTATGAAGTAAGGTGTAAGGAACATCGATTGTGATAGAGAGAGGAGATAAAAAGGTCAGCTCTTTGTCAGTCCCTCAGAGATTAGAGAATTACAACATTCTAACTCGTTAGGAAATTATTGGAGAAAGCGCTGCCTCTTTTATTCAGTGGTATGGAGATAGCAGAGCCCCTATGATTATGAAACTCTATAATCAAAACAGATGTACAAGGTCAGAAAGAAAGAGACTTGTTAATTGTGGGATAGAAAAAAGACACAGAAAAACATGGCGTTCAACGAAAAGAAGGAAGAGACCGTAAGGTGTGAGAGAAAACGAATACATTGAGAGAGAGGCGAAGGAAAACATTATATTCTGCCAATAAGAAACAAAACCTAGTTCTAAATCTACGTGTTTTTTATTAAAGTGATAAACAACAGCTTGTAGTGTATACCAGTATGGGTTAATTCCTGACAGGAGTAAGCACAATCTTAATAAAGTTGTAGGAAAAGCGAAGTGCAAGTACAACGTGGCTGTAACAAAGTGGTGTCAAAGCAATCTAAAACAATGGATTAAATATCAAACTTAATAAATTTGTAGGAAAAGCGAAGTGCAAGCACAGCATGGCTGTAACAAAATGGTGTCAAAGCAATCTACAACAAGGGACTAAATATCAAACTTAATAAAGTTGTAGGAAAAGCGAAGTGGAAGTACAACATGGCTATAACAAAGTGGTGTCAAAGCAATCTACAACAAGGGATTAAATATCAAACTTAATAAATTTGTAGGAAAAGCGAAGTGCAAGCACAGCATGGCTTTAACAAAGTGGTGTCAAAGCAATCTACAACAAGGGACTAAATATCAAGCTTAATAAAGTTGTTGGAAAAGTGAAGTGCAAGTACAATGTGGCTGTAATAAAGTGGTGTCAAATCAATCTACAACAAGGGATTAAGTATCAAACTTAATAAATTTGTAGGAAAAGCGAAGTGCAAGTGCAACGTGGTTGTAACAAAGTGGTGTCAAAGCTATCTACAAGGGATTATATATCCAGCTCCATAAAAGGTTTAAACTTGCACATCTAAATATCGTAAACCACAAACAAGCATTTCATATTGCACTGCTTCATGTTCGCTTATTTAGAAAGATTTCTTCCAAAAATTTTATACGATTATGCAAAACAGTAAACGTCTGTATGACTAGCTTCAGTACTTTGCATCATTAATGAACTACTTATAAGGCCGTTAAACAGTCACTGTTCTTGTAAGCAAGAATGTACGTTTCAGTAGACTTGTACTTGTGAAATCTCGACATGTAAACCATATCTATAAGTAATATAACGCTGTTTGATTTCATGAGCCAGGGTGATTTATTTGTTAATTAAAAAGCAATTAATTTTCACACTTTATGGATTATACTGGGTTATACGATATACGATGATTAAAAAAACACTTCTACAGAAGTAACTAATGCACCCAAAGGAATATAAACCACAGACATACAACTTTAATTTGACCATGTACAATGACGGATAATTCATCCCCGTTAACCTTATAATCACTGATTTATGTACTTTTAAATTAACTATTAAAGCACAAGCACTCAGAATTGTAAAATGTAACTTAAACAATGTATGTACATCACGTGATCTAGGGGTCAGAATCCTACTAGATCCTATATAATGGGTGGATATGGGTGGACAGTTATAGTTTATCCTGTAGCTGCTTGCTTGTATGTATTGTGTGATTTTTTAAATAAACGGAAATTTCTCTTATTCTGCCTAAGCTTATACTGATGTTGGAAACAATTACACGTACAAAAACACAGAGCAGAAACAAATAAAATCACCACGAATAAGAGACAAAAGGAAAATAATTTAACTAGAAAACATTCGCCACAACAGCTTCTCAGTATGTTTTGTTTATTGTGTCTCGCGGTTACGCAACGTAATAAGCATCCTCTTTTTTTTCTTTCTATTGTTTAGTAAAGTAAAGTTTTGTTTGTTTGTTTTTGGTGTTAAGCACAAAATCATATAATGGGCAATCTGTTTTTCGACTCCCACGATGGTCATAGAACAGATAGCCTTCAGACCTGCCGGCGAGCCTATTGGGAGACAGTATCTTTTGAACTGAGTGTACTGCACAAAACAAAAGTTTGGTTTCTTTGGCAGTTGGTGCAAAGCTACACGAGGATTATTTGCGCTAGCCGTCCCTAATTAAGCAGTGTAAGACAAGAGGGAAGGCAGGTAGTCATCACCACCCACCGCCAACTCTTGGGCTACTCTTTTACCAACGAATAGTGGGATTGACCGTCACATTATAACGCCCCTATGATTAAAAGGGTGAGCATCTTTGGTGGGACGGGGATTCGAACCCGCGACCCGCATATTGCGAGTTGAGCTCTTTAACAGCCTGGCCATGCCAGGCATAATTATCTATGAGTATACTCCTCTTTATTTGGCCTTGGGACAAAAAGCATGAATATTGTTCTACACAACATTGGCCCATAGGACCTGTTTTCACACAAATACAGGCAAAGTGTTTAATGTCTTGTTATAAACATAATGTATCTCATTATGAGTTTGGCATATAGGCCAATCTTGAGAAGTCTGTTTTTAACAGTCAGTAAACTGACGTGCTGTCCAGTTACGTCTGTGAACATTATTTAGTATTGGAGCAAATAACCTACGATTGTGGCAACCTAAGATCGGCGAATAGCTGTCATCTGCAGATATTACGGATGATGGTGTGCTTTGTCCAGATTTCCAAACAATCTGTATCATTGATTTGGAAACGGTTGTAATTTTTGCTAACGAAAGTTTGTAGCCAATTTACAATTGCCTGGATTTTATTCATCTGATGACTTTCCACATAAGCAAAATGTTTTTCTAAGGTCTAGCCATGGCTCTTTGCGATGCGCTTCAAAAGTGACAAATAAGGTAAAACTATTTGAAGATCAATCATTTACATCAGTGAATTGAAATGTCTGATTGCGTAACAATAAAGTGAGAGGTGATTAACATAATTGTATAACAAAATTCAGTTTCTGCCTTGTTGTAACTATAATACTACAGCTACTTCATGACTGAAATTTCTTACTAGACTTTTGTAACTATAAAACATTTTTCAATAGTGGCATTACCCTGTTTAATGAGGAAAGTAAACTATTGAAACTCCATAACAAATTGTCATTTTAGTTTGAAGTTAAAATAACCTTCTAAGATAAAATGTATTAATAACTGTTAATATGGCTAATAGAAGAAAAATACATACAAATCCTGGTAGTTGTGCTTATTTGTTGTTTGAAACAAACAAAAAAGAGCAATAACCCCCAGTTTATGAATTTTAGAGGTTGGTGAATTTGGTGAAACAAAGGCAAAAGTGTACAGAGATTAATAAAAACTAAAAGTTTTATCCATAGGTCAGCAAAACACAAATTTATGACTGCACTCTGATGGTTGTTCTGCTATGGAGAAGTTTTTTAAACAAAGGCTTTGTTTATTAAAGAAACCAAAGTTTAAATAAATATTAAAATGGTAAGTTAATTGAATCTAATAGAATAGGAGATATTCAATTGTATTTGATCAAATTTTATTGAATCGCAACTACTTTAACTTAAATTTAGGAGCAGAGCAGTACCTGGAACATATAAAATAAACATCTGATTTTCCTTAAGTTTTAGTCCTCCGGACTTACAGCGCTAAAATGCGGGGTTCGATTTCTCGCGGTGGACACAGCAGATAGCCCAATGCGTCTTTGCTCTAAACACAAACAAACAAACAAATCTTAACTTTTAGAACAAGGGTGAGCTTA